CTAGAATTATTTCAAACTTTCTGTGAGTCTATAAGTTTCAAACTTATAACACGCAACAACAACCAAGTCTCAGCATTATTTTTATTTATTTATTTATTTTTTTATTTTTATTTTTTTAAATTTTTTTTAATGTTTATTTATTTTTGAGACAGAGAGAGACAGAGCATGAACGGGGGAGGGTCAGAGAGAGGGAGACACAGAATCTGAAACAGGCTCCAGGCTCTGAGCCATCAGCACAGAGCCCGACGCGGGGCTCGAACTCACGGACCGCGAGATCGTGGCCTGAGCCGAGGTCGGCCGCTTAACCGACTGAGCCACCCAGGCACCCCAACAGCATTATTTTTAAAGAAATGAAAGAGGTAGCACTCGCGAGTAAGGAGCCCATAATAACAAGCTTTCTCCTAAGGTAGTGTATATGGTGTTTCTTAAAAGTGAGCCAAGACATGCAGTTCTGGTCTCTGATTTAGACGTTAGGCAGTGATTAGATTAAAATATGGTTAATCAGTGCACACTGCAAAAGGATCACGCTAACTTTCATGAAGTATATAAGTATATGCAGTAGATCTCTGGTCTGACTTCACTTCATGTAAGTTCTACCTTTGTCTGTCTATGCTGTCTCTGTCTGGTTCCACCAATGTATTTGCTTATGAACTTGCTTCCAACAATTTGTAGAACAGAATTCTTTTTATAGCATTATTGTTATCTTTTAAAAATTCACTTATTTACATGTACTCACAGGAAGCTTTGGAAATACAGATAAAAAAAATTCCCTATAATCCCACCACTCAAAAATAAATACTGTTGATATTTTGTATGTATAATTCCAGTTTTATTATCCCTGTGCATATAAATGCTTTTTAAAAACATATGAAATCATAATTTTATATACTTATTTTACTTATTGATGTACTTATAACAATGCACCATTTTCCCAGATCATTACTTTTCCAACACATGATTTAATGACCACATAGAATTGCACCCTGTGGATGTACAGCACCTTAACTAATCTTCTGTTATTGGCCATTTAGGCTGTTTCCAGTTTTCCACCATTAGAAACAGTATTGTCATCAGCATCCTTAAGGCTCATTTTTAATGCACATGACTTTTTCTCTTAGGAAAGAGTCTCAGAAGTGGAATTGCTGGGGTAGGCAAAATGTCAAAGCTTTTGCTTTTTATTGTGAAAGATAAGCATCATTTTAAAAAATATGTTGTATGAATAGACACTTCTCTAAAGAAGACATCCAGATGGCCAACAGGCACATGAAAAGATGCTCAACATCACTCCTCATCAAGGAAACACAAATCAAAACCACACTCAGATACCACCTCACGCAGGTCAGAGTGGCTAAAATGAACAAATCAGGAGACTATAGATGCTGGTGAGGATGTGGAGAAACGGGAACCCTCTTGCACTGTTGGTGGGAATGCACACTGGTGCAGCCGCTCTGGAAAACAGTGTGGAGGTTCCTCAAAAAATTAAAAATAGATCTACCCTATGACCCTGCAAGAGCACTGCTAGGAATTTACCCAAGGGATAAATGGAGTGCTGATGCATAGGGGCACTTGTACCCCAATGTTTATAACAGCACTTTCAACAATAGCCAAATTATGGATAGAGCCTAAATGTCCATCCACTGATGAATAGATAAAGAAATTGTGGTTTATATACACAACGGAATACTACGGGCAAAAAAAATGAGAATGAAATATGGCCTTTTGTAGCAACGTGGATGGAACTGGAGAGTGTTATGCTAAGTGAAATAAGTCCTACAGAGAAAGACAGATACCGTATGTTTTCACTCTTATGTGGATCCTGAGAAACTTGACAGAAGACATGGGGGAGGGGAAGGGAAAAAAAAAAGAGAGGGAGGGAGGCAAACCTTAAGAGATCCAAAAAACTGAGAACAAACTGAGGGTTGATGGGGGGTGGGAGGGAGGGGAGGGTGGGTGAGGGATATTGAGGAGGGCACCTGTTGGGATGAGCACCGGGTGTTGTATGGAAACCGATTTGACAATAAATTTCATATTAAAGAAATATGTTGTAAAGAAAACCTTAATTGAATAAGATTGCTTTACCTACAGGGAAACTTAGGATCAGTTTCTTTAGAATGATTTCTCACTTCTTAGAGACAACTGCCATTACCAAATAGGTTAATTGCTTTGGCTGACTTAGAAGAAAAACATTGAAACTATCTAAATAAACAGGTTATGCAAGAATTTTTTGCTATTCTTTTATTTTTGTTAAGCAATGAGAGTAATTTATTCAAATAAGAAGAAAACAAATGGAATCACATGCCACTAGTGAGGAATGGAGTATTTACATTTCCCCCTCTTCCCATTTGATACTGATTAAAACATATTTTTGGTTATTTACTTTTTAAGCATTATGACTGTGCACATATACCACCAGCTTTACATACAGTGAAGGAGTATGGGTAAAAAAATTTATGGGAAAAATGCACTACAGTAGTTGTAATGTTGCAGAATTTTGTCACATTTTTCTAGTTGTGAATGCCCTGTTCGTGAGCATGAAGAGGCCTGGTTCTGGATTAAAGATCATCATTGATTGGGCACCTGTATTTTGCTGGTATACCTGAGTTGCATGTTTTTCTAAGTGGGTGAATATGTCACTTTGCTTGTTTAGGTAACCATCAAAACAATCTGATCCTTCTCATTGTGAAGCTAAATCCTTAACAACAGGTTTTCTCTAGTTTATCAAGTGAGGCTCCCTGTTATGCTGCCACCTCCAGATAATTATGACCATTGTTTTCAGCCTCAACTCGTTTCTTGGACTTTTCATTAGTCTCTTCTTCATGGGAAGATGCTCAACACAGAAGGAACACAGATCATGCCAGGAAGGATGGAAACAAGATTTGGATACTTTTTATATAAAAAGTCTGAACTTAAAGAAAAAAAAAAAGGTCTGAACTTTTAAGTAGAATGTGTATTATCTACAGTTTTATTACCTTCCAATTAGGGTCAATGAATGGACCCTAATAAACAAGATATTTGATTCTGGGATTGATTTCCTACACTAGGAAGCAGTTAAATGTTTAGACGTTGGAAAAGCAACAAGACAGATCCATAAGTGTTTGGCATTCTTCTTTTTTCTCCTTCTTAGTCATAAGAGCATCATTTTACATTATGCATATAGTGGTGAAATTTTGTTTGAACATAATTTATGAGATCAGGATTACAAAGACTCCTTTTCCTTTCAGTTCTTTGTTGGAATTTTCTATGATTATTTATTTTTTTTATCAATGGCATTGAAATTTCCCTCAGAGAAATTCCTCATGCTGAGATTGGTGGTAAATACTTACTACTGGATTCAGGATTGTTATTCTTTTATGAACTTATTTTCTTCTGTGGCTGTCTGTTATGGGGCTGGTCATGGGACTTGCTTTTCATTTTTACTATAATGTAATTCTTTTTTTTAAGTTTTTATTTAAATTTCAGTTAGCATACAGTGTTATATACAGTGTTATATTGACTTCAGGTGTATAATATAGTGATTCAATACTCTGTACAGCACCCAGTGCTCAGCACAAGTGCACTCCTTAATCCCCATCACCTATTTAACCCATCCCCCCCACCCGCCTCCCCTGGTAACCATCAGTTGGTTCTTTATACTTAAAGAGTCTGTTTCTTGGTTCCTCTCTCTTTCTCTCTCTCTCTCTTTCTCTCTTCCCTTTGCCCCTTTTGGATTTTATCCACTGTAATGTAATTCTTTTGAAGTTGAAAACAGCCCTGTGAAGAAGCTGGCAGAGCATTCCAGGTGATAAGAGTTTCTCTAACATAGAGTGAATTTTGCAGCACTGGGAATGGTGTATTTTTACCTGGCCTGAATTAAGATGATATTTCTATGTCATAGTATAAATGTGGTTCAGTGTTAAAGAAATACTATTCTGGTAAGAAATAGAGTCATAATTTAAACACAAATTTTTCCCCAAAAGGGACTACGTTTTTGAGTTTATCTATTCTCAGCTGTATCTTTTACTTTTGTTTCCCTTTAAACTCATCATCTGAATCTGTTACCTGCTCCCTCTTCTCCATGTAAATTTTCTATACAAACTGAGAGGAACTGTTTCTTGGAGAAACAAATGAGGCTTCATATGAAAGGGGATTTCCTTTGGGTTTGAATGAACAAAAATTGTATAGATTTCTAAATATTTCACATATATATCCTTATATATAAAGATTTTTCGTATATGTTATAATAAATGTATTGCTTATTTAACAAAAAACTGAATATGAACTTCTTGAAATTTAATGCAAAAGAAATCTGGTTTAAATCTGACCACTAAAAAATAATTTATTTAGGTTTTTTTTTTAAGTTTATTTATTTATTTTGAGGGGGGGGAGAGAGAGAGAGAGAGAAAGAAAGGAAAGAGAAGCAGTGGGAGAGGGAGAGAGAGAGAATCCCAAGCCAGCTCCATGCTGTCGGTGCAGAGCCTGACACAGGGCTCAATCTCACAACCGTGAGATCACGACCTGTGCCGAAATCAAGAATCAGATGCTTAACCAACTGAGCCACCCAGGCGCCCCTATTTAGGTGTGTTTTTAAAAAAAGATCCAGGTGATATTTTTTCTTCACATTGGTATTTCATACACCTGTTGAGAATTTTTTTTACAAGTGACACAGAGGTCCTATTTGCCTTTTATGATATCCAGGGCATTCCTATAATATTTAAATGCATATATTTATAGCTGTTCTCTGCTTAATTAAATTCAATATATGAGAATCCATATCTTAAAGAAAAGATTGCTGAAGAGTCAGTCTGGTGGATTTTAAACATATATTATTCACAAAAATATGAATTACCCATAGTTTTACATACCACCTTTATACATAAGAAATAGCTGTGTACTGTATGCATTAAAATATTCTTAATTTACACTTTATTAGACTTACATGATTAAAATGCTTGTGGATTAAAAATCATTGCTCTTTATTCCTGAAAACTTATAAGAATTTCTGCTTTCTTTTTCTCTAACAGATATAAGCTTACCAAAGTCGGCAACAATATGCTATACAGCTGCCTTGCTCAAAGCAAGAGCTGTCTCTGACAAGTAAGTGAATAATAACTTGTGTGGTACTAAATGCCTGACCTGACTTAAGGAGATGTGTTGCCTCTGAGGGCTTTCTCTGGAAGTTTCTCTTAGTCTATGAAACCCCCCGCTTATGAGCATGCATTTTCTAAAATCTGCTGATCTTTTCTTTCACTACTAGAAGGAGAGAGTACATAACCCCAGGTACTTCAAGGGTGTATGGGTCCCTAAAGAGGGATTTATGTGCAATTCCATACCTCTGAGGTGACTTTTTTTTTTTTTTTTTTTTTTTTTTGCCAGACAGTAGATACCAAAAGGCCTGCTTGGGACTTACACACAAAATGCCTTCCTTTTACTCATTTTTTTGCGTGTTCCTCTTCCGTCAGCAGTCCAAGACTGGGTAGTAGTCATAACAAACATGTAAGATGGCAGAGGGGATGATCATCTCCCATTCTTTGACTCATCAGATCCAAACTAACTCCCCACCCAGGGTCCATTTGCTTTGAGTTGCCATCTCGGTGGGACATTCGCCCGTTTTATTCAGGCAGGTGACTATGACATAGAGAATTTTCATAAATGTCCAAGATGACTGGCAGGTGAAAGAGAACAGTTGGCTTAACTGTTTGAGTTCATAATAAACGCTTCCATTTCCCCGATACAATCCCTCCGAAGAGCTGAAAAGCAGATAACAGAAAAAGAAAACAGCCTCTGCTATGTCAGACAGGTTTGCTGTTAAGTGTGTGTGCACTTCAAGACCGAAGTAATTTTCTTTCATTCTTTTTTATCCTGTAGATCGCCAGTACCTACTGCAACATCTTTTCTCCCTACACAGCGACTCCAGCTTGGGAGGGCAGGGCCAGGGTTGTCACAGCTTCCCCTGTGGTGTCTGCCTGCCAAGCACAGCTCTGGAGTTAGCCCTGGGTGTGAGGTGAGAAAGAGATTGCATGGTCTGGTTTTTTTCATTCACTCGGGCAGGTGTCTGGCCCGCAGTTCGGGCACGCACACCCCCTGCCGGAACGGCCCCAAGCAGGCTTGCCTGTGGAGGAGGCTGCATCGCAGCACTGACATTGGGTTGGGAGCCTCCTTTAAAATTCTCCCTAGTTCTGTTTTTAACCAAGTGCGCTCTTCTGTAACCTGGTTTTCTCTTTTTCCCACACTGTCTGCCCTCGTCAGTCCTACCCCCTCCCCTGACCTGAGCAGGTACCTCATAGAAGATTTAGATTAGCTATTTAGACAGAGAGACTTGACAGCCGAATTTCATTCCTGCCGAGATTAGACGCAAGCACGCTTTCTGCTTCTGCTGGGGTTTTTGTTGGCCTCGGTCTGAGGGGTCACTCAGAGGTTCCATATAGTGGAGGTTTGGAGAGCTCATGCCATTGGCTCACTGTGGTTTTATGGGCCCTTGACGCGTAGATGCCTTTCCGGGTTGATGCCCAAGCAGTGGTCCCAACTGGATGGTGTTTGTCTTCCTGCTTTTCAGATTCTCTCCCGAGGCTGCATCTCGGCGGGGGCTGAGCACAGCAGAGATGAACGCAGTAGAGGCCATTCACAGAGCTGTGGAATTCAACCCTCACGTGCCAAAAGTGAGTCTGTGGAATCCCCACAGGAACTCGTTATGATAGCAGAGAAAGCATTCAGTGACCACAATGTCATGTCTCGAATACACCCAGTGTAAAAAAATGAATTGCAGCCAATGAATGCTGAGGCCCTATATAGTCTATGGTTATCAGCTTCATTTTTAAGCAAAAGCTACATTCAGGAGGCTTTGGGCCGATTTTTGGATTTCATATAATTAGGGTAAATTGATAGACTTAGCTTAGGCAGGTCAGGCCAGGAAGTCTGAAATTGGCAAAATATGGAGATCCCAAGAGTGTTGATGCATTTGATAGGAATTTCACACCAGTTATAGTCTTAACTTAGACCCAACTTGGGAAATGAACCTTGTTGTGAATATAAGTGGTGAAAAAAAATACTGATAAATGTGATGTTCTAGGTCTCTACAAATAAATGATACTTAATCAGTAATGGCAAGAAGATAATAGGGAGAACCTCAAAGTATGAAAAAGTGTTTTTCTTTTGACTTGTGAATGCCATTTTAGTATGTATAAGTAGTAGGAGAGGTTTGTCTTAATTGTTAAGCACATGACTGACCAATTTATAAATACCCAATATTTCCCATATATTTTTTTCCTGAATTTGGTTTTAAGAGAGTCAGATCATGGTAGAAGATATTTCTATAATCTTTTATTTGGGAGATGGGTGTGTATTTATTATTTACCTATATTTGAGTACCTGCTATGTGATAGACACATTGCTGAGGGCTATTTTCAGTTTCTCGATATTATAAAGTGCATTTTGACCTCTGGGAAACTTCATACAATTTACATCAGGTACTACAAGGCATACTTTTCTTGGCAAAATGTCTAATGAAGGCTTTCACTGGTGAAAAATGACAAAAGAAGGCTATTTTGTTTTCTTGAAGTACTGTGCAAAAGGTGGTACGTATGTCCGTGTATGTGTGTATGTGATGATTTATGGAGTTACCTACTTTAATCTATTTTGTTCAGAGTGACAGTGATAAGGGACCTAACATCTTTTCTGAGCTTTTATTCAGGTCGTGCTCATTTTCTCACAAAACAGGAAACTGAAGAATGGTGCACAGTACCACAGTCAGTGAAGGATATATTTATCTACTCTAGTTCCAGTGGATAATGACCATCATAATATTTGTAGACTTAGGCATTGTATATAGGGTGGCATAAAATATCTCTCTTTATTTGGTATCTTTTCAGCTATGTTAAAAGTGTTCATTCAAATTTGGTTAAAAGTTAAAGCTAATCATGAAAATATTGTCCTGAACTACAGTCAACTTAGGTCATCAATTAATATTTATTGAATGCTGTTCTCTAACTACAGAGTTGTTCTGTGAGCATGTATAGGCCCTTTTAGAAGTAGTATTGAGCAATAGAATCCTAGTTTCTGAGAATAAAACTTGGGTTTAGTTCTGGCTCTGTCATTTATGAGCCTTGGGGGGAGCTTGGGGCTTAGCATCTCTGAACTCAATGTTTTCCCTCATTTTTCAAATGAAGATAAAAATATAAGCCTTACCTGTCTTTTGTGACAAAGAGCAAGTGGGATAATATATTCAGAGTTCTTTGAAAATACTTGAACACTGTATTTTCACAAAGTCTTAAAATTATTGACATTTGACTTGTTGGAGACCCCTGAAGTCTGGGAACTGGGTCTTTTTTTTTT